GCCCCCTCCCCTCGGGCGGGGGGAGCCGCTGCATGGGGCCGGGGGGGCGGCCCTGCTGCGCGGAGCGGCGGCGGCGGCGGCGGCGGACCCCCCAGGCGGGCTGGGGCTGAGCCCGGGACCGGGGCGGGGGCTCCGGGGGGACCATGCCCGGAGGCCGGCCGGCCGCAGCATGGCTCACGGGCCCGGCGCGCTGATGCTCAAGTGCGTGGTGGTCGGCGACGGGGCGGTGGGCAAGACGTGCCTACTCATGAGCTATGCCAACGACGCTTTCCCGGAGGAGTACGTGCCCACCGTCTTCGACCACTACGCAGGTAAGCCTCGGAACTGCTGACTAAGGGGCCGCTCCCCGGGCCGGGAACTTTGGAACAACTTTGGCGGAGCCCCCTCACCGCCTCCCCCGAGCGCGCTCCGCACCCTCCCCCCCCGCCCGGCCTTACGCGGGGCTCCCGGCCCCACCCCCAGGCCTCCCCTCTGGCCCTCCCTGTAGGGGCCGGGGAGACCCCTCTTCCTACCCCGCCCCAACCCCCTGCCAGTCCCGGCTCCCCACGCTTCCCAACCCTGGGACTGCCTGGGCCGACCTTCTTGACCTTCCCATGGGCTCCTCCCTATTGCCCTAAACCCCGGGGGAGACAACTTGGGGCACTGGTCGAGACGTGGCTAGGGGACTTGGGAGAAGGGAGTGGGCAAGTGGGGCCACATCACATCCCGTCCTCGCCGCCACTTAACAGTGAGCCCGGCACAAGGGAAAAGGGGTGACATCTCCCGGGGAGCGCCCGCATGCCTCCGGCTGGGTTGCCAAAAGCAGGTCCTGATGGGGAGCGAGATTGCCCCAGACCCCGGATAATGGAGCTTCTCTCCCCGCCCCCACTTCTGCCCTTGCAGTCAGCGTCACCGTAGGGGGCAAGCAGTATCTCCTGGGACTCTATGACACGGCCGGACAGGTGAGTGTCTTGGCCCCTGGCCGACACCCCCTTGCCTTTCCTCAATTCAGGGTGGCTGTACGTGGCCTTTGGAAAAGGAGATGTCTAGGAGGGAGGGTGTGTCTTCGAGGGGCCCGTCTGGATCAAGTCTTTATTTCTTTTTTCAAGTCAGCAAATTAGGAAAAGAAAAAAACAAAAACAAACAAATAAAAAAAAACTACCCTAACAAGAAACCCATCCCTGCCCACCCCATGCGAACCCCTGGGCTATGAAAGTTTTTGCCTGTGTGTGCTTTCTGTACGGTGCCTGGTGTGTGGGTCCCAACTCCTGTTGCAAAGTGGCAGCGGCCAATCAAGAAGCGCCCTTATTTTTAGTTGCAGATGACCAGGTCTCCCCCTCGCAGCCTCTGTCTGGTCCCTCATTGGTGAGTGGTCTGCCTGCCGGAGGAGCCTGATTGGTGCGAAATGGCATCATCTAATATGATGGGAAGGCATTTGGTCCTGGTTCTGTTTATTACAACATCATTGCACTCTGGGACTCGAGTCCCTGCAAGCAAACGTAATTTGTGGTGTTACCAGAGGACCACAGGGAAAAAAAAAAGAAAAGAAACAGCCACCATCCAGCCACTCCCCCGGGGGAGGGAGGAGGAGAAAGGGTTAGGAGTTCAGTATGAATCTTGGAGGAGGAGCTTTTTTTTTTTTCCCCCCTCCCCCTTTCCTTCCCTAGGAAGGCCAGGTGACTCTGTCTGGGTTTTCTTTGGGAGAGATTATTGTGCAGAAAGAAAATTCACAAGTCCTCCTGGTAGCCTCTGACCATTAGCATAGCAGAGGTGGCTCTCCTCTCTGACCCTGTCCCTCTTCCTAGACCCACTTTTGCTGTGGAGGTGGGATGATTGCCTGTAATGAAGTTTTGCAGAATCCAGCCCTGTGATTAGACATGCAGCCTTGGGCAGAAGTTTCCACGTGTCGTGCAGACTTGAGTCCTTGAGGACGTGTTGAACAGCTGAGGGGCTTAGAGAGTGTTCTGGCAAGTGTCAGATAGTGCAGTTTTCTTATCTTACGATGGGTTTCAAAACATACCCTGTTCATATACTGTGCCAGATGCTCAGCACTGAGTTGGCACACTTGGGTAAGGGCTCAATAAAGGGGATCTTTTCTTTGTAGCTTTTCTAGATTTGGATTTCAGAATTGTGGTACCAGGTTGGATTCCGAAAAATGCCTTGCAGAGGGTATTTTGATGTGGCTTCTGGTTTCTAAGCTGTTAAGTTAGAAAAGCATCTGAGGATAGAGAAACTGGGGGCAGTGCAAGGTGCCAGAGGCCATCCTGATTCACCAAACCCACCCAGGTCAGTACAATCAGTCCTTAGCTTGCCAGAGCCCCATTTGGGTGCCTGCCTTGTAGCTGTTACTTACTCTATCAGAACGTATGGAGGACAAGAGGCAGAACACAGTCCATTAAGTAAAACCCAACTTTTGAGCTGGACGGGTTGATAAATAACAGGTTGAAATTGTTGGTTGAAAAGGAGACTGGTTTTTAAATATCATCTCTAATTTTAACTTCTCTCACTACCACCTCTTCCCTTTCCTCCTTTAACTTGTCACCATGACCATTCATTTGACCACAAGCCCTATTCAAAAGGATGTGTGTATGTCAGAGCTGTTCTGTGCACATTCAAACCCAACTAATATTTACTGAGTTTCTTCTGCATATCAGGCATGGGGCAGCCACTGAAATATTCTTTTTTCCCATGAGCTTAGTGATAGTCTCTCTCTGTAGATGGGGAAACTGGGGCTCAGAGAATCTAGGTAGCTGACCTCAGGCCACACAGCTACTGACAGGTATTGCTGGGGTTATGACCTGCGTCTGAATTTGCCCCCGGTTGAGGTGGGCTGTGATGCCACCTGGGATGATTAGAGTCCTTGTGGGTCTGTAGACGCAGTACCTGGAACCTGGACAGCCGTTCTCTGAGTGGGGGTCGTGCATACTGGAGAGAACCCAGATTCTAATAATCACCCGAAGTTGGGCCCACTCACAAAACCAGGGCTTCCCATACGTCCTCATGATTGCTGTGTCCAGCAGAGATTGTAAGACACATACCAAATGGCATCAAACTATGAGTAAGGTTCAGATATTACTGTTTTGACCCAATGGTGGGACATCTACTCTGTTGGCCAAGACGTGTTTTAGGGCCCCTTAGCATTTTTTCCCAATGTCTGGAACTTTTTCCTTTATTTATTTATTTGTTTTTAAAGATTTTTTTTTTTTTTTTTTTATGTCAGAGAGAGAGCATACACACACAAGCAGTGGGGAGCCTGTAGAGGGAGAAGGAGGCTCCCCACTGAGCAGGAAGTCTGATGGAGGACTTGATCCCAAGACCCTGGGATCATGACCTGAGCCGAAGGCAGATGCTTAAACGACTGAGCCACCCAGGAGTGCCTGGAACTTTTCCTTTTAGATCAAAGTTAGTGATAATTCATCTTCCAGTGTTTAAGAGTTTATTACTAATAAGCAATCTTAGCAATGTAATCATCAACAGGGTGAAATGAGGAGTGCCTAGTGTATACCTAGCACTGTGCTAAGCACCTGGGGATTACAAAAGAATAAATTTAAGATAGGTGTCTGCCATGGCTGATGATAGCATAGAAGTGTCTGAACCCGGTATCTGTTCATATGTGTTAAATAAGAGATTCCTGTGTTGTTCTTGGTCGTTAAGTTCTCATGCTTGTATGAATCAGTATCAGATTAATCTTACGATAACAGTAATGATCAGTAAACACATAGACATGCATACACACACGTGTACATATAGAGAGACATTTTTAAGCTTCACAGACGTCAGAGAAAGGCCCACGGGCTTTGGAACCAAAGAGGCCTGGGCTCAGATCTCCACCTTGCTGTACTAGTCATGTGATTCTGGCTGTACTTAACCTTCTTTGTGATCTAGTAAGAACATGGATAATTCGAAACTATGCTGCAGTGTTGTAGACTGGCTTAAACTGTTTCATGTACATAAAAGCAGCTGACACTGTTCTTCCCTCATAGTAGATGGGTATAAATATTACAAGAAATTACTGTACTGTACTCTGGGCAGCTTTGTTGGGGGAGGGGGGTCACAGGCAGAAGAGAATAGTGTATTATGTCTGGAGTTGATAGAAATTCCATTAGATGCCAGATGCTGGAACCTTCTCACCCCGAGGTATGGAGCCAGCTCCTACTTCAGGATTCCCACAGTCCCCGCCACTGGACCCATGGACGCGGTCCAGTGCTCCCTGCTCCACATGCCCTGTGGTATCAGATGGTTTCCTTTCTCCGTCAGAGCCTGCGTGCCCAGTGACGGGAGAGAGACTTCGGAAAACCAGGCGTTCTGTGTATACTTTGAGAAACAAGTGCGGTCTGTAGGTTTCAGTCTCTTCCACTTGGGGAGGTAAGAAGGGTTGAGGGGGAAGCGCATAGCCCTGGAAAACGTCACTTTCTCTCCATAATCTTGGCTCGGAATGTTCACTCACTGTATTTGACTAACAGAATTGATGCCTCCCTTGAGTGGGAACTTCTAGTCTGTGTGCTTGCTCTTAGTCTCTTTGACCCCAGTCAAGTTCAAAGCTGTAGGTAACATTAGCCCAATTTTCACATTAGGGAACATAGTAGATGACTGTTGTGGATGACCTTTAGCCTTCCAGAGGAGGTCGCTTCCCCCTTGGCCTCTGTGGCTGTTGGCAGAGGGAGAGGGAGGGAGAGGGAATGATGAACACGAGTGTGTGCTGGGCAGCTTTAGTCCGCATCATGTGCTCTGCCTGGGCACATCCCTCAACATCCCCTACACCCTTGGCCAAAGGGAAGCCCCCTCTCTTGCTTGGCAAAGCCCCTGGGTGGCCCAGGAGCGGCCCTGACATTTTGACCGCCCAGCATTTTGGAGTGGAAGTTGAGGGCAGTAGTGGCTTCCCCGTCGCCGGGGCCCTGTGGAGGGGTCTGGCTTCCGGCCTGGGCCTCTCTGGAGCTTCTCCTTTCTTGCTGGTCTCTCAGGACTGCAGTGGAGGCCCTGCAGTGGGGGACCCATTGTCCACTCAGGGAGGGACGGGACCAGCAGTGTTCTCTCCCTCCTGCCTCGGTGCTGTTTGGGGCTCAGGGGAAGTGGGAAGAGCTCTCGCTCTCTGTGGGGTGCGGAGCCGCCTGGCAAGTTGCTCTTGGGCTGCGGGTTCCAGGCTGATCTCTTCATCCTTGTCAGGAAGGCAGAACTTGATACTCTCAAGTGGGAAGGACTGGCGCCCAGTTTATCCCAGGTCCCAGAATACCCACACACAGGAGGGTGTGTGTTGGGGGTGCGTTTGCGTTCCCTAAAGTTCCAGATTTAGCCACTTCCTCAGTGTGTGGAAGTCCATATGTATGCTTTTGGGTGTTGTGTTGCTATGTCTGTTGACTGAAACACACAGGTTCAGGGATGCATACATGAGAGCTATAAATAGCTTTAACTTAGGTGTCCCTGGGGTTGGCTCTTCAGTGACAAGTGAGATCTGTTTCTCACTTGACAGAATCCAGCAGCTGTGGCTGCCCTCCAAGCCCTCTGGGGAACCAGGGAAGTACTTCCCCTCCAGAAGGGAATCTCCAGGGGAGGCAGCCTTGGAATGCCCCATCTCTGTGTTTCCTGGGGTGGCAGGCCCCTAAAGGCCTCGTAGAACAGGAAGGGACCAGGGGGAGGGCCGCGGTTTGCCACTCATTGGGCTTCTCCTGCCTTCAGGCAGGCGTCCTCTTGTTACCTGCCGAGGTAGACTTTTGCCAGATGGGGAAATTGAGAGTGAGTATGCTTATGGGAACTAGACAGAAAGGCCGTTAGGAAGATTTTCCTTTCTTTGGAGGGGGCCTGCAGGGCACATCGGTAGGGCGTGGGAAGTACACACTCGCACTCCATGAGCTCCCGGGGCCCGCAGCCCAACACTCTGTCCCTGAAGTGCCCAGAGAGCAGACCCTGGTCCCCAGCGCAGCTTCAACAGGTGAGCCGTGGGTACTAAGCATCCCGGTTTCCCTTAGTAACCTACTAGATTTGTCGGCTGTGCGTTTTCCCTCACCTTTTTAGAAGCTATTTATATCTCTAGCCTGCACCACATCACACGTAACACTGATTTCCTCCTCTGCATTGGGAGGGTGGACGGCCTTTGTTGCTCCAAAGCCTCTGCAGTGACCCAGTGCTCCGCGTTCCCCTTG